TGAACTGTATGATATGGCCCAGCCCTAGTCAGCACATTTAAAAACTGCAGTTGAGCCTAAAGTGCTGTTTTTCCTTTTCAGGACAAAGATATGTAGGAAGCTAAAGAGCAGCAGAGAAATGCCAGGAAAGAGAAATTGAGGGAAGGAGGGACAACTTTCCTTGGAAGTAGACATGTGGGAGGTACGAGATTAAGTTACTGTGACGCAGCTCAGAGGAACAACAATGAAGGCTTTGTGGGGTTTAAAGGAGAAACGTTATTTGCAGGACAGGAAGAATTCATGAAACTGTTTAGTCGTCTTGTGTTAATCTAATAAAATAATAATTACAAATATATTATTATTATAATATTCCACGATGAGCTGGAAGTGGTATTACTGCAAAGTGGGATTATTTAGTTTTAATTTGGGACAAATACATAAAGTCTCATGCTTTATACTGGATTGAACAAATATGATGAGTTGCACCAGAAAAACAAAATTAACAGTCTCACTTATAAATAATCCTGTTGTTTTCAGATGTTACTCTAATTTAAACTTAAAATAATCCTGTTGACTATTTTCACATTTGTTTAACTTTTGAGACCTGAGTAGTTTCTCTCACATCATCAAATTTTTTAAATAAGTATCTGCGATTTGCCGAAAGAGTTATATATTGATTACTTTCCTGTCCGTCCACCGATTTTAAGAAACCTTGTCCTCGCCGGTCAACTCACCATTCTCTTTCTCTCTCCTCTCTGTCATGTGTGTCTATCTGTTCTGGTTTTGGTGCAGAAGCAGGACTGTGTGAAGGCAAGGCAAGGCAAGTTTATTTATATAGCACAATTCAACAACAAGGTGATTCAAAGTGTGAGGTTTCCCATCTTCTGCCTTCACACGCCTGGATTAATCACGCACCTTTTCCTAATGCCCTCGTTGTGGCCTCTCCGTAAGGGAGCGGCAGCTCTTGAGTACTTGCTGGATTGTTGTCCTACTAAGTTAGTGCGACCCAAGTACAAGCCAAGCCTTGAGCTTGTGTTCCCACTTACCTGTGAGAGAGATACTTACAGTTGTACGTTCCTCTTCTGAAGTCTTGCAGTCATTTTCACATAATTTCAGTCTTCTCATTTTATTTCTAAAGTTGTGCCTTACCATTTTGTAACCCTTCTTGTACAGTAGTTCATACAGCATTTTAGAGTTGACCCTAAAGTGCCGTTTCTCCTTTTTAGAGTGAAGAGATCTAGGAAGATGTGGAAGCTGAAAAGCTGCTGAGAAATAAGCAGTATTCCATTTAAAACGATGCTCAGTTGGTGCTAAGGAGCCCAGTGTGCCAAGAATACATATCCTGCACACAATTATCAGCAGCAGCGTGAACCACTGATAAAAGGCAGGATGGATCTTTTCCTGTTGTTTATGTCAGATTCTGACTACAACATCTGAATGTGGGGGCAGAACTCATTTTCTACTGGAGTTCGCCTCTGCATCATGCTCAAACACTCCACACAGCATGCTCTGCAGACTGTGACAAAGCACAGCTGTTGCTGAATATAAAAGGCCCCTGTGGTTCACTTTTTATTGCCTGTAGTTTACAGTATAATGACTAATACTATAATAATTAAGTAATTGTGACTCTGACAGTGAAGAAAGTGAACCTGGCATGTTTGATGGAGATTTAGCGCAGCTGTTCAATTCAGAAACAGAGGATGAGGACTTCGATGGGTTTGATTGATGACGATTACCGGTAAAATAAATGTGAATACCAAATTCAGTTTTGCTCCCGCTCCATTTTTAAATACGCAGACTTGTATGCTTGTGTCTGTTGTTGTTGTAAGGCAGACGTAGTAGAGGACACCATGAGAACATTAAAGGGGGAAGTGTGGGCGTAGATTATATATAAAACCCACACCCTATAATCAGGTGCGCCTTATGTGTGTGTTAAATACAGTAATGGCACACATAACTGAGACTGCGCATTTTAGTACCGTGCGTGAAAATACGGTATGTCAGGGGTTGACATTTGTTCAAACACAAATAAGAGAGAAAATGATACACTGTAGACCAAGTCAGAGAGTTTAAGAACG